GGGGTTAGTATGAAAAGCCAAATGTGGCTACACTTGTTGTACTCTGCAGAAGCAGATTTAAATACACTTAAGTTACATAATTTAACCATAAAATTTCACAAAATAATTTAATAAAGATCTCGTAACGTTTTAGTGCTATAATTATTATTATTTTTAACTGTGACTTAAGGCAATGAATTCAGTTGAAATTGTGAACCTGGCTTAAAATTGAAGATTTGGGATCCTTGCTACCTTATTAACAGTATTTAAATATACTCTTCCTTAAATACTATGCAAAAATTGAAATTATTTAAAATATAAGATTCTAGATTTTAGTAACAGAGTTCCTCAATCCTCATTAAGGATGAGACTTCAGAGACGCCTGTACAACATTTATTTCCTTATATTTATAATTTCCTAAAACTATAATAAACTTATTTTTTTCTTTGCCAAATTATTTAACAAGTCATTTTAAACACCAGATTCGAGGCAGAAGACTTAATTCAAACTTGGAATCTTCAAATTTGAAGAGTTTCAAGTCGTCTTCACAGTCTCATCCTTTGTGGTTAAGCCTGTAGCTTCAACTTTTAATTGCTTAGAGACAGACAATTTAGAGAGTAATTCACTGTGATCCAAAGGTTGCAAGCTCTCACGCAATTATAATTTGTCCGATTAAAAAGTGAAAATAAAATCTAAAATTGTTGAAATACCCTCTCTAATGCAAACAATACTTTTCAAGTTATATAAAAAAAAAACACTAGGGGAGGGAGTGGTAATTGGAACCTCCCCCCTTAAGGAATAGGATTGAACAAATAAATTTTCTTTGCTTTTTTAAAAATGTTAAAGAACTTGTCAAAAACCCCTAGCATTGCGCAAGAAACAGTAAATTATTGTACAGTAAGCAGTACTGCACTGTACGTATTAATGTATTTTGTACCTAACTGTACTGTAGGTTAATATAATGCTTCCAATGCGCGCACAAAAACATGTTCAAACCTAACAATCTAATTTTGATGCAAAAAAAGCATGTAAAAAAATAATACGTTTTGGCATTCTTTTCCAGGTTATTTTATAGTTCTAGGATTTGCTGTAATTTCCTGTATCAGGTAGTACCATGGCAAACTAATCACAGGGACAATCCCAACCCCCTTTACTATCCATATTAAGGATCATTCTCTGTCTTTCCTAACATTTTTAACAAACTTTTGGGGGAAAAATTCATGAAAAAATATTACTTATAATAAAGTACAGGGTTACTCACAAAAAAATGATACTTCAGCGACGACTTCTTTTGAAGCCAAATTATTTAGTAGTATATTTAAAGACTATTTTTATACCAACCTCGTAACTATTATGTGTCATAGATTTTTGGTCGTCTTCTAAGCCTCATCCTTTGTGGGTGACACTAAATTTAGCTTATATGTGTGTATTATTTATGCTCTTACGCTTTTTTGCTTGCTGAGGGTTTAAATTGAATTCAACATGAATAAGTAATATATTAAGATACCTAAATAAAAACCAAAAATAGATAGAATACACGATAAAAATAATAATTGAAAACTGATATAAAATATTCGTAAATATATTCTTAATGTCATGAATTTAATAAGAATACCTGCAGGAGTTTGGCGGATCAAAGTGCAATTTATTAATTTATTCAATAAATCAGTTTAACATTTTTTCCTTGGAATTATGAAATTGCGAGAAAAATGCCAAACAATAATTCTCTAAAGAAATAACATAAAATACCACTTATAAAGACTGATGACAAGGATTCTTAAGTGACTCTCCGTTTTTAGAGTGACATGTCCAATTTGCAAAGGTATCCTAAAAAGCGTTGTATGATAGGTAATTAATAAGATATCCATGTTTCTTACTTCAAAAATTGATTATTTATACTTGTGCTTTCTACATAAATGTGACTTGTGGATTTTTGTAACAAAAACAAATAAGGAAAATGTTAGAATTGAACAGGAAGAAGAACAACAATCGATTAGAAAAAGGATTTAAAAGTACCATTTACCATTTACTTAAAGGAATTGAGATTTTGTCACAAACTTAAATTCCTGATTCCTATATCTTTTCAACCTGATGGTGTTAACCTTTGACATTTCAAACTTAGATTATTAGATCCAGCAGAATTCACAGTTTTAAATATCAAAGGTATAGGGATTAAAAAATCAAAGTTTATGCCAATAACTCAGTTCCTTTACTACGACAAGACCCTGTACCTTTATGCACCAGCAATGTTTAAGGTTTTAACTATTCAAAGATCGAAACTTTTGGTTTGTTAATCTCTTAAAAAATTTGCCTATTTCATCCTTAAGCCTCGACAAGTTGCGTTTGGTTTCTTCGATTTTAATTCATTCGCATTTTGAAATCAACAATTTTTAATTTTATATTGCTTTTTCGCTATGACACGCATTCGCCGATCAAAAAAATATTTTTCATTGGTAAAATTATGATTATTATTATTATTGCTGGGATACACCAAACGGTTACATATCCGCCGGTTTAGGTTAAATCCTAATGGTCTCATATAATTGTATTATAAAGTGGTATAATTTCAAAATGTAATACTTGTAGTGCAGGCCTAATTTGTTTTAAATTATATTTTTGAATAGCATTTTGAAAAGTTAATTGCAATTCATGGAATGGCCATTTTTTTTTTAATTAGGGAAATCTTTCGAAATAAATTTTTTTTATTTGCCCTCCCAAAAATGTGGCAAATCAAATAAATAATAAGATAATACTAGTCAAAACAGGCAAGATCGCAATTGTCTAAGGCTTGATCAAATGTTCAATGAGTATATGGACATTTTTTAAAACTAAACTAAAAAAGGTTTTGTTTAAAACATTTCAATTAATGAAAGTTTTCAGAAGTAACAAAACTGTTTAAAATGACCTCAGATTTAAAAATCAAAATAAATCAATTCTAAAATATGAATCTGTAGCGAAAACTTTCAGAATCATATTTGTTTTAAAACCAATTATCTTTTCTTTTTTCAATGAGAAATTTCACTTTTAAAAAATGTATGCTTACGTTTTTATTTATTTAGTTTCTAAGAATCAAAGCCCTGATTTCCTACTGGGATACCTATTTAAAAACATTAGATTTTATACAATTCATAAATATTTTGTAATTCACAGAATAGCATCTCATTCATCAAAGTGTTAGAAACTTAGAGATGGTCTTCGATTTTTGAATATTGGAGGTTCTCTGACTTTAGAGTCGGGTCCCTGTTTTAAACCTAAACACTCTTTTAAAGTTTAGTTTATTAAAGCGTTTATAATAATTTCTAATCCAAAAAAATCCAAAAAAAGTTCTTTATGAAAAGGATTAATCACAAAGACTTAACCACCTTTCGATTTCGACCCTTTATATTTTTAGGCTGTTTAGNTAAATTTAGAAATGTTATGGTTTATCAAGTTTTAAAAAAATTAAGTTCTTTAAAAATTGTAAAATATATTATATTCAACAAGCGACTGTTAGAAGGCAGTTAAAAACCTTTCGTGGAAATGTAGCATGTTGTGCCCGTACAACTATAGGCCTGCTTAGCCTAGGCAAGAGCTTATGAGCAGTCTGTGTAGTGTGTAGTCTGTGGTTGGCCCGAAAAAAATGTTAATATTTAAAATATCACGTTATCAAGATGATTTCTAAAACTCCTCTTATACATACGTACAAAATGGTACTGTGCAGAAGTGTATTTATCTATACATCCCGAAATCCTATGTTATACAAAACATTTCTGCCATGGAATGGTTCATTTTGTTAAAATTAAGGGGATTATGAAATAAGCTGTTTTAGTTTTTCATTTCTCTTCGGTGCACGGTAAAAATAAAGTAATCCGATGTGTACAGTATGGTAAAAAACTAACCGGTATCGTACAGTTAAACCTTAAATTAACTATATATCGAAAACATTTATCAGATGTCATCTTGACAATTTTGCGTAAATCTCAGTATTTGCGAAAATAAATAAATAGTCATGAATATGCAGGAACAGTTTTAAAGAGTTCCATATAATCATTTAATTAAAAAACTAGATATCTGCAGCATTCCATTATCAGAAATGTTTGACATTTGATGAATTCTTTCGATGCATGGCTTATTTAGGGTTTAACTGTATGTGCATATATTTAGTCGAAGTAATAATTTCATGAACTGAACAAATTGCGTGCACGCTAGAAAATGGATTTCTGTGGAAACGTGCGCCAAATATAAAATTTAAGAATCGATCCACTATTAGGTCATAAAAATTATTTTCTGTATTTCATCAATATTTAGATTTCAAAATAAGTTCTTTATCATAGGAAAAATCATGACAATCCTTTCTTTCTTTTTGTCATTTGATGAAGCTATGGTGTACTTTATTATATACTATAGCTAGGGAACCCAGCCCGGCCTGAAACTAATCTTTCTATTTAAAACTTAATAGAAATTTCAAACCAACTATAACATACCCGTGGTACAAACGGTTCATTGACATAGGATCAAACGACTTATGGTCAAACGACCCAGTGTCAAACGACATAGGGTCAAACAACAAACGATAAAAAACGCGACAAAAAGTAAAACGACAAAGGGTCAAAATAAAAAAATATCTTATTTTTTATTTCAGGGTTAGGTTAGGATAATAAAATTTCTGGACTGAGCGCTGCGGCTAGGACAGGCTAGGGGACCGAGCGCTGCTGATAGTAGTTCAAATGAACATAAAATAACATAAGAATATTTATTATTTCAGGGTAAGGTTAGGTTATGAAAATTTCTGAGCCAAGTGCTTCGGCTAGGAAAGGCTAGAAGGCCGAGCGCTGCGTCTACTAGTTCGAATAAACATAGAAATAGTTCAACTTGACCCATAATTAGTTTGTCGCACTTTTTGACTCATGTCGTTTTACCCTTTGTCACGTTTTTGGCCGTTTGTCGTTTGACCCTAGGTCGTTTGACCTTCCCCTGTTTACGCCTTGGCGCAATTACTCCTTAGTCCTTACCCACTTTTTACACATTTAATATTCAAGAGGGTTATCGTTGCTTGTCTGTTAGTCAGTCTGTTTGTTTGGATGTCTCATGAACCCCTGGACCTTCCCTCCAACTTGAATTAGGGAAATCAGGAGAACTACGGGAAGTTAAGTGACTTGACTTTTATTGCGGAAACTCCTTGGCAAAGCTGGGTTCCCAAGCTAGTATAAAACAAGCTTATCAGTTGAGATAAAAGCATCTGTGCTTATTCAATTGTTTTAATGGGAGGAAACTTTTTATGATATTTAAGTTAATGTTCTGGAAAGATTAAACTGCAAACTATCCTTCAAATCTGTTCAAACTGGATAAAACTAGATAGAACGATCAGTATGAGTAGGCTGTGGCGGAAGTTTTAGTAGATTTTTACTTTTATATATATGTATGTAATAAATATTGTATTTATTATAAACCTGAACACACCTAGAAATATTACGTTGTACATTCTCAGTAACCTACCAATGCTTGTAAATAACGACGTAAAACTTGTAAATATGTTCATTTAGATAACCTGTACCATAGAACTCAAAATAAACATTAGTTGGAATAATACTCCGCTTGATTACGGTGTTAGAGTAATTTAATTCCTCGTGTAGCGAACAAGAGTGACCTTAGGTATATCTTGAAAGATAGATATAGGATAGGAAATACAAAGAGTTGTATCTGGATTGATTACAGACTAAGGTATTACATTGAGGCTTATCTTGAAAGACAGATACCTGAAGAATACAACAGCATCTTATCTGGATTGATACAGACTGAATATTATAGATGAGAGTCAGCATGAGTTGTATCTTGACAGATAGATACCTGAAGAATACAACNAAGGAAGGGAAGGAAGGGAAGGAAGGGAAGGAAGGAAGGAAGGAAGGAAGGAAGGAAGGAGAGAAGGAAGGACCTGATTAGGTCTGGATAATAAACAATGTTTTTATTATTTGCTTAATTCAGCTTAAAACCATTAATTCTTAACTTCACCTTTGTTTTCCGAGAAATATTTCTTATGTATTTTGCAAGTTTGAATTCAACAGAAAAATTGAACCCACAAAAAAATCTCCAGTATTCAACACTTTTTTGGAGACGCCAATATATGGTTAAATTTGATATCTATACACTTGCAGAATAAAAAATGAAGGAGCTAATTAAATATAAGTCAAAAATTGAATTTTATCTTTGATTGAAATCTGACGTGTTTTACATTTTAGCTCCATCCTCTTTATGAATGTCTATTGAAATGAAGAAAAAGTTTTGAATTTCTAATAAAGAAATATATAAATTATTATTTCTATTGGTGGTTAAGAAAACCCAAGCTCACATAGATCCAGACTGCTATAAAAAGTTGCATCAATTTTTAAGACTGGGTCGACTATAAAGTTTCGCAACACAACCCCTTGTCATTCGCTTTTACCTCACTAATTTTCTGATCCTAAGTTTTTGTATGCAAGTTATTGGCAAAATTCTTGAACATTTTTGCACGAGAGCTTGTATCTTTTGGCTACAAGGTCCAAAGGTATACCAGAAATTTCGCTTATTTCTTGCTACAAATGAACTCTGAGTTGTTAATCCCTATATATTTGCAATCAAAGCATGAAATAAGAGTTCCAAACAAGAAATCAGTCCCTTTTATTAAATTAAATACACATTATGCATGTGCATAGTGCAGTTTACTGTACAGTTACCGTGGCGTGAACCCAGACAAAGGAATTGAGTCTTTGCCACAAACTCTGATTTTCTAATCACTGTAACTTTGGAACCAAATGTTGTAGACCTTAGATATTTCAAACTATGAGAGTTCCAACATTTTTGCGCACTTTCTTGTTCATATTTTGCTGGTCTGTAGAATGCAGAATGTACCTCCACAGTTTAATTTAAAAATGTCTAAATATTTGAAGTTTGATGGGATCCGTTCAAAACCAGATTTAAATTATAAAAAATCATTCAAAAAAAAAGTTTGAAATGATAGCAAACAGTCAGTTTTTATCTGTTTGCTAAATCTATGTAAAAACAAATATTTTTAAATTTTTA